CGTTTCCGTTCCCTTCCTCACAATCGCAAACGCATAAAGTCATCTTGTCCCAGCCGTGTCTGAAAAGTACCTGCGCGAGCGCGATTCGAAATGAAAGAAGACAGACTTTTTCTCTCCTTATTTTCCCGCGGCAATATTTCTGAGGGAAATTCACGGAATACTTTTTCCTTTTAACATCGGTACGAGAACTCGTCGAAAATCGAAAAAGAATTTTGTTGTTTTGTTTCGGTAACTCGTTATCGCTATATTTAATTGCAAAGTATTTTTTAAATATCGATAGATTTCTTTGAAATGTACATCCTTTTTTTTTGGCAAAATATTCACGCTGTGGTGCTCGAGCTTAACGCGCTGCGTTGACCGTATTTTCCCGCAATTTTCCCCGACGGACGCGTTTGACCGCAACCTCCGGTTTACAATTAAACAACGCGTTTACTGCAAAAACGATCAACTGGCGGTTCGTTCGGGCAAAGAGATTGCACGGCGGAGGAGGGTGGGAAAGGGGAGAGGTCTACAGCAATCTTTGGCCGATGGCCGCGCGGCCGTAATGGCGCTTCGGTTACATCGCCGCGGTGAAAAACGCTGTTTTTTTTTTTTACGCTTCTCATTCGAAGTCGCCGCCGGCGCGATTCATAAAATAAAACTGGTGCGCGCTGCGTGCAAGAGGGTGTCCGATTGGCTTGTCGAAACGCGCCGCGGCATTAAAAGGTGGCATAAACGCGGGAGCTTACAAGCGGGGGCGCGCGTTAAACTCTCTTTGCGCTCATTTTAACCACGCCACACGACACGTCGTAATTTCACCGAGAGAGGCGCCACACTTTCACGCGCGCGCGCGCGCGCCACTAATATTTCGATAGTGTACGTAAATGTTTTTTAACAAAGAATTTATTTCGCTTTGATCTATCGGCGCGCGCGCGCGCGCGCCACGCGATCTCGTTCTGCTTGTTGAACGCGCACAAATCTCTAACGCTGCTGTCCGAACAACGCCGGATTTCAACGCCGTTGATCGCATAATTCGTTTAAGGTTAAAAAAAAACCGGCGTTTGCCTCAAGAAAGACTAATGAAATTGATTAAAAATAAAACGAAAGAGATAAATTTCTTCTCTCTTCGTATAAGAAAAGGAAGAAAGGGAAAACCGATAACTACCTATATACCTACGTCGACGGTCTAAACCGTCGAATTCGGGTCGAGTACGCAGAATATATAGCTCGAGTATGCATAAGTAAAAGCAATTGCAATGTACGCCGGTTCGATTCTGACCTTTTCTTTCTCCCGTCGTAACGATCGATGCGGTCCACATGTATACACGCGTATATATTGACATGTACGCGTTCCCCCTCCCTCCCCCTTCCTCTCTCTCTCTCTCTTTCGTCGTCGCATATATGCTTGTGCCAGCGAAATATAATTCGCACACGCCCAGTCCCCTGTGCGCGCCGCGCGCGAAAATGACCAAAAAGAGAAAAACAAAATTTCCCGAATAGCTTTGCACTCGTCCGAGATGATTGTGTGGTATACGAATGCGGTCAGGAGAAAAATGTCTCCTTTCCAGACACGGCCAGACGAGATGACTTATGTATAGGTATTCACAATCGCGAGAAAACGAAAGTGTGTCCAAAATAATTAAAGACGTTGAAAAAAATCTTTCTGCCTTATTGGTAGATTTTGACGATAACTATGCGTTATAGAAATTTCTTAAACGCGAGAGATGCACAGAAAAAGAATCCAATGTATTTTTTTTCTCGTGCAACAGAACGTGCCATTTGTGAGAATTTTGAAAACCGACGGAAAGCGTTAAAAGATGTCGAAAAATGATAGCGCGATAAGAACCCCACTCCGGACATCTACTTTAAGCTGCGGTTTGGCGCGATAATAATATCTGTAACGAAACTGTAAATCGAAAAAGTGAGGAAACTAGGAGAGAGAGCTTAAAAAGAAAGCGCCTCGCGCGCGCAAAGTGTCCGCCGCGCGAGGATCGCTGCTCCGAAAACTCGTCGGACAAGAAGCTAAACACGCGGTGAAGTTTTTCGTGTTGGCACGCGTACAATCTCGAGAGAGGCCCCGCGCGCCACACGCTTCGCCCGGCCGCCGTCGCCTCCCCTCCCCCTCCCCCCGGTCCGCGTGGCCGTGCGACGCTAACGACAGGAACCGAAGAATTTATTCGGGCCGCTTATCGAGAGACCTCCCAGGAAAGAAGGACCGGTTGTCCATCCGCGACTCGAAGATTAATGAACGCGGTACTAGAAGCGGAGGCTCATTAGAACGCATTAACCCCGGGCGCTTTCTTTTTTTTTTCTTTTCATTTCATTTCTTTTCTTTTCTCTCGCATTACTCAATCCTAATAACATATTGACCACTACTCCGCAAAGTATCAAACCCTCAAAGAGGGATATATGGTCAATGGCTGCCTGTCGTAAACCGCGCACCGTTGATGGAAAATAATCTTCGACGTATACTTGCGTACGTGTGAACACGCATGCAGACGGCGACGACGAACCTAACGATTCTGTATCCATATACTTAAAAACATTATAAGATTCCATCATCTTTCTGATCTTAAAATGTCAAAGTGTAGGACAAAGTGTAGATTATTCGAATCCACCGATTTTCTTTTAAACCTATCGCAATGTCGCGTACGGAATATTTAATCGTTATAAAAAAATATCATATATACTTTTGGTACTTTTGTTATAACTTTTATAAGGCTAACTTCAATTAAATACTTGTTACATCATTCTTTTCAATTATTCTGTCACTCTATAAATGTATCGATTAATATAGTATATATATGGTATATAGTATATACATGGTATGTACATACATACAATACATATATATAAAATTTATTTCCAACATCAGCAAAAATCAAGGATAAACTTACAACACGCGATGGCAATACAAATGCAGTTTTCTTTAGGCGTGTAACCTCGATTAATCTTCGACGGCCCGAAATCGACCCGATGGATATAGAACGACATGTGCGCGAACAACAATGCGTTCCCTGGATCATATCTTATCGCCATTATCGTGGATCTCTCAGAAGAGGTCGGTTATCTACCGCGGCGGAATATGGGCCAGATAATTTTACAGCGCAACAAAAAGCCGCGAGCGGGGTTTTCGAAGGAGAAAGATTTCCCGTATGTGCGCTGCGTTTCGAACGAAAACATTTCCCGCGTAAATGTAGCTCGTCATTTATCCCGTGATTCCGTTGAAGGCAAAATAATTGTGAAATCTGATCAAAGCTATGCGCTTATTTCTATTGCTTTTAAGGACGTTTGGGATGTTTGTGCAATATCAGATATATATGAAAAAAATGTCAGAAAAAATTTTACGAAAATTTTGATCGTGAATTCGCCCTGAAGCCAACTGTAAACAAAAAAAAGCAAAACAACGAATAATTTGGCTTATAATGGCTGCAGCACAATGACCATATTTTCCTGCAATTTTAGGTAAATGACTTTTAAACGAGCAAGCGAATCCGAATGAACTATTGCACGAATATTTATTAGAGTTTCATTAGTATGTATAAAAAATTTGATTTAATTCAATAATGTGCTATTTCCTTTCTCTCTATAGTGTAATTAACGAATAAACATCAAATAAACATCAAATAAATTTTATGTAAGAAAATTATGTTCAAAGTTTATATTGGATACTCAGATGTAATAATAAAAACAATCCAGGAAATTTTTATATTGCTGATAATATATTTTGAGATTTGCGACACATGCATCCTTAGTCTCTCTGTGCATTATACATTTTATGTAAATAATTCCATTGGAAGATGAATTTGAGACTTACAAGGGAATCTCGCGAAGTGTCAAATTCTGATTTTAATGAAACTTGGTACACTTTGAGGTCACATAAATAGATGAATTTAGAAATTATCAGTTGGTGCTAAAAAACGGTTTAAAGGGATGAATCCACTCCTTATATGTAAATTAATTCTTTTTTTCTTTCGTTATATCTCAAAAACGATTCAAGATATCAAAAAATGTTGTATACAAAAGTTTTATAGTAAAATTGTCTTTATTCATTTACGTTAATGGAATTTTTTTAAAAT